CTGTTACACAACGCAGTCTTGGATTGCTTTGGAATGTTAAAACAAGACACAGTCACATTTCAAGCATCAGTCTGTGACAAGCCCTTCACAAAGCGAGGAGTATTGTCTACAGTAAACAACATTTATGATCCATTAGGTTTCATTACACCTCTCACCATTCAAGGTAAGATACTGCTGAGACAAATTACTTCTGAAAATGCAGACTGGGATACCCCATTACCCAAAAGAGAAACAACAAAGGTGGGAATCCTGGAAACAGTCCCTAAAAGCATTAGAACAACTCCAGATACCACGCTCTTACACCCAAGCATCCTTAAAAAATGCCACCAGAAGAGAGATTCATGGCTTCTCCGATGCTTCCAACAAAGCGATTGCTGCGGTGGCTTATCTTCGAGCTATGGATCCCAGCGGTAAAGTGGGTGTAGGATTTATCATGGGCAAAACCAAGCTCACACCAAAACCTGCACATACTATTCCAAGGCTTGAACTTTTTGCAGCTGTGTTACCTGTGGAAATTGCTGAGCTTATAGAACTTTAAAACAGATGTTGAAATAGACTCCTTTGACTTTTATACAGACAGCAAAATAGTGCTAGGATATATACACAATTGCACAAGACAGTCTCTACGTGTATGTCGGCAACAGAGTGGAACGCATAAGGAATTTCTCTACGCCTGAACAATGGCACTATGTTCCCACTAGCCTCAACCCTGCTGACTGCGGCAGTCGCGCAGTACCTACTACTGCATTCCTGGACACATCTTGGCTATATCCACCAGTACTCTTGAATGATAAAACTTATTTCAAGTTCAACAAATTCTACCTTTGAACTGGTTCATCCGGAATCTGATAAGGAAAATCAGAGCTGTTTACCATCACATTCAACACCTCTATGAAAGCAAGGGTAGGACTGAGTCCTCACCATTTTGAAAGCTTTTCTAAGTTTTCCTCTGTTGTACTAGCCATTGCACGTCTTGTTCACGTTGCTCATCAGTTTGCAAACCGCTCTAGCACTGAAAAAAGTGTGTCACAACTGGCACATCTGTAAAGCCACTCCCTACAATTGAGGTCTTTCAAGCAGAAAGGGCCATTATTCAATGTGTCCAACATGAAGTGTACTCACAAGAGACTGCTAACATATCAAAGGGACTCAACCTATCTAAGGACAGCTCTCTGTACAATTAATTCCAATAATTGATCACCACAAGCTATTGCGAGTCGGTGGTCGCATTGGAAGATTCCATTTGTCCAATGAAGAGAGAAATCCCCTCATTATTCCAGAACATCATCACATTACTGCTCTGTTAGTTAGACATTTCCTTGAGCGAGTTCAGCACCAAGGTCGTCACTTTACTGAGGGAGCAGTAAGGTCTGCAGGTTTCTGGATCGTCGGGATGAAAAGGTGTATATCGTCCATACTCCACAAATGCATTAAGTGTCAAAAATTAAGAGGGAAACACAATGACAAATGGCAGAGTTGTCAGCTGACCGATTAAGCACTGAACCACCATTTACCAATGTTGGCATGGACATATTTGGCCCCTGGACTGTTGTTACACGCAGAACTCGTGGCGGAGTTCCTAACAATAAGCGATGGGCTGTGCTGTTCACTTGCTTGAGCATTCATGCAGTGCACATTGAAGTGATAGAATCAATGGACTCTTCTTGTTTCATTAATGCATTCAGAAGATTTGTTTCTGTACGAGGACCTGTAAAGTTACTTAGATCTGACTGTGGACTAATTTTTACAGGAGCAGAAAAGATAGTAATCATCTTGAAAGGCAACAAGTGTAAATGGGAATTCAACCCACCTCATTCCTCTCACATGGGAGGCTCTTGGGAGCGCATGATTGGAGTTGCAAGAAAGATCCTGGACTCTATGCTACTGGGACCAGAAAACTTCTCAATTTACTCATGAAATCTTAGTCAATCTTCTTGCAGAAGTGTCTGCTATAATCAATGTAAGGCCATTGGTCCCTGTGTCCTGAGATCCAGAGTTCCCAGTGTTGCTCACTCCAGCCACTCTTCTTACCCAAAAAATTGGGGTAGCCACTATTCCCACAGAGGAGCTTGATTACCCTAACATTTACAAGCATCAATGATGACGGGTTCAACATCTTGCTAAAGTGTTTTGGGAATCGCTGGAAGATGGAATACCTTTCTAACCTTCAAAGTTGTAATAAATGGCAAACTAGCAAACCCAATCTACAAGTGGGAGACATAGTTCTTTTGAAGGAGACAGATTCCCATTGTAACCATTGGCCCATGGGTCTTATTACAAAGACTATGCCAAGTAACGATGGAAAAGAACGCAAGGTAGAAGTTAAAGTCATGAAAGAAGGTTCTGCACACCTTTACTTAAGGCCTATAAAGGAACTAGTACTTCTTTTGCCCAAAGAGGAAGACCTGATTTAAATGGAGGTAAGAAGGAATGTGCATGTTGCTGCCTTCCCCTCTGAATATCTATTTCCATGTCTTAGCCTGGACTTTCGAGACCAACATCTGCAAGTATTATGCTAAATGTTTGCATTGTTTTCCTTTTTCTTCCCTTCCCTCTTGTTTTGCAGATGTTCCTGGAAAGAATCCTCATTATTTATATTGGTCTTGAACTAAAGTTTATTATAATAGAAATCATAGATTTCGACGGGGAGTGTCATGTTTCACATGACTGTCATATGTAGAGATGAGCGAAGTATTCAAAAATTCGATTCGACTGATTCGGCGAATTCGTGGAAAAATTTTGATTCGAGTCGAATATATTCGATGCGAATTTAACTTATAAAAGGGTGTTTCTAGGCTTCAGAGAGCCTTTATATTAGTGCAGAACACTTTACCTTTAATTTAAATGCCCTTGGAGTCTGCTGGGGAAGAGAAATAATACCGACAGTCAGTATGACATGCAGATGAGTGCCGTCGATCTTAGAATCACCGCACACTTCACTCATTTGGGCAGTCACTGGGCCAAAACCAGAGTGTGGAGCCACAGTGTGGCGGTGGAGGCAGCAGCAATGGGAGGCCCATACAGCACCCTATGACAAAAATGGAAACCACCAGCAGTGTGAGGAGACCTGAAAGTGGCACATGGCAGAGTGTGGCGATGGAGACAGCAGCAATGGGAGGCCGTACAGGGACCCATGACACACTCTGAACCTGGCAGCAGCATGAGGGGGCGGTACAGGGGCCCATGACAGATTACGGGCCTGGCAGCAGCATGAGGAGTCGGTACGGGGGCCCATGACACATTCTGGACCTGGCAGCAGCATGAGGAGGCGGTACAGGGGCGCATGACAGATTACGAGCCTGGCAGCAGCAACTTGGACAGGAGGACGTTCAGCTTCTGCACCGTCGGGTGCGTGCTCGCAAACTGTTGTCTCTTGGAAACGGATTCCAAGAAAGACTGCTGACGGAATCCGTGAAGAGGAGTAGCAGGAGAAGGAGCATCTGAACGAGCGGAATATGCCAACAAGCAACAACAGGGGCCCATGACAGATTACGGGCCTCGCAGCAGCATGAGGAGTCGGTACGGGGGCCCATGGCAGATTAGGGGCCTGGCAGCAGCTATGGGAGGCCCGTAATCTGCCAGCACCCTATGACAAAAAATGGAACACACCAGCAGTGTGAGGAGACCTGAAAGTGGCACATGTTTGGGGCATGATTCATGGCGGATTTAGTCAGTTGTGTCAGGAACTGGTGGTTTGAAATCCAGACTAATCCACGCCTGATTCATTTTCACAAACGTGAGTCTCTCCACACTTTGGGTGGACAGTCGTGTCCTCCGCGGAGTTTGGCGATGGAGACAGCAGCAATGGGAGGCCGTACAGGGACCCATGAGAGACTCTGGACTTGGCAGAAGCATGAGGAGGCGGTATAGGGGCCCATGGCAGATTAGGGGCCTGGCAGCAGCTATGGGAGGCCCGTAATCTGCCAGCACCCTATGACAAAAAATGGAACACACACCAGCAGTGTGAGGAGACCTGAAAGTGGCACATGGCAGAGTGTGGCGATGGAGACAGCAGCAATGGGAGGCCGTACAGGGACCCATGAGACACTCTGGACCTGGCAGCAGCATGAGGAGGTGGTATAGGGGCCCATGGCAGATTAGGGGCATGGCAGCAGCTATGGGAGGCCCGTAATCTGCCAGCACCCTATGTCAAAAAATGGAACACACCAGCAGTGTGTGAGGAGACCTGAAAGTTGCACATGGCAGAGTGTGGCGATGGAGACAGCAGCAATGGGAGGCCGTACAGGGACCCATGAGAGACTCTGGACCTGGCAGGAGCATGAGGAGGCGGTACAGGGGCCCATGGCAGATTAGGGGCCTGGCAGCAGCTATGGGAGGCCCGTAATCTGCCAGCACCCTATGACAAAAAATTGAACACACCAGCAGTGTGAGGAGACCTGAAAGTGGCACATGGCAGAGTGTGGCGATGGAGACAGCAGCAATGGGAGGCCGTACAGGGACCCATGAGAGACTCTGGACTTGGCAGCAGCATGAGGAGGCGGTACAGGGGCCCATGGCAGATTAGGGGCCTGGCAGCAGCTATGGGAGGCCCGTAATCTGCCAGCACCCTATGACAAAAAATGGAACACACCAGCAGTGTGAGGAGACCTGAAAGTGGCACATGGCAGAGTGTGGCGATGGAGACAGCAGCAATGGGAGGCCGTACAGGGACCCATGAGACACTCTGGACCTGGCAGCAGCATGAGGAGGTGCTATAGGGGCCCATGGCAGATTAGGGGCCTGGCAGCAGCTATGGGAGGCCCGTAATCTGCCAGCACCCTATGTCAAAAAATGGAACACACCAGCAGTGTGGGAGGAGACCTGAAAGTGGCACATGGCAGAGTGTGGCGATGGAGACAGCAGAAATGGGAGGATGTACAGGGACCCATGAGACACACTCTGGACCTGGCAGCAGCATGAGGAGGCGGTATAGGGGCCCATGGCAGATTAGGGGCCTGGCAGCAGCTATGGGAGGCCCGTAATCTGCCAGCACCCTATGACAAAAAATTGAACACACCAGCAGTGTGAGGAGACCTGAAAGTGGCACATGGCATGAGACACTGTGGACCTGGCAGCAGCATGAGGAGGCGGTACAGGGGCCCATGGCAGATTAGGGGCCTGGCAGCAGCTATGGGAGGCCCGTAATCTGCCAGCACCCTATAACAAAAAATGGAACACACCAGCAGTGTGTGAGGAGACCTGAAAGTGGCACATGGCAGAGTGTGGCGATGGAGACAGCAGCAATGGGAGGCCGTACAGGGACCCATGAGAGACTCGGGACTTGGCAGCAGCATGAGGAGGCGGTACAGGGGCCCATGGCAGATTAGGGGCCTGGCAGCAGCTATGGGAGGCCCCCGTAATCTGCCAGCACCCTATGACAAAAAATGGAACACACCAGCAGTGTGAGGAGACCTGAAAGTGGCACATGGCAGAGTGTGGCGATGGAGACAGCAGCAATGGGAGGCCGTACAGGGACCCATGAGACACTCTGGACCTGGCAGCAGCATGAGGAGGTGCTATAGGGGCCCATGGCAGATTAGGGGCCCTGGCAGCAGCTATGGGAGGCCCGTAATCTGCCAGCACCCTATGTCAAAAAATGGAACACACCAGCAGTGTGTGAGGAGACCTGAAAGTGGCACATGCAGAGTGTGGCGATGGAGACAGCAGAAATGGGAGGATGTACAGGGACCCATGAGACACTCTGGACCTGGCAGCAGCATGAGGAGGCGTATAGGGGCCCATGGCAGATTAGGGGCCTGGCAGCAGCTATGGGAGGCCCGTAATCTGCCAGCACCCTATAACAAAAAATGGAACACACCAGCAGTGTGTGAGGAGACCTGAAAGTGGCACATGGCAGAGTGTGGCGATGGAGACAACCCACCGACTGTTTTGCTCGCTGCCAAGCTGCCACCCTCTTCTCCTGATGATGCGGAAGCAATAGCCTGATGACGACGAGGCTGCCAAGTGCGATCAGCCTCATCATCATCAATTAGGGTCTCCGCCTCACTACTAGCCCCCTCGGCTGCGTGTGGGTCAGGAGACAGACCTGTCTCTAGACCGGCTACCGAGCCACTCTCCTCGCCACTACTTCTTTGCCTGGCTGCTGAAGAGGCGGATGTCTCCCCCCGTTCCTGACCGCCCTCTGTTAGCTCTTCCTCACTGTACTGGATGACACCGGGAGCACTGGCCTCTGGCTGCGAATAGTGCTGCCTCGACCCCTTCCTCTGCTGCCACGTCTGCTCGCTCCTAAAACATTGCCTCCTCTGCCACTCCTCTGCATGTTGTCTGACATACTCTTTAATTCAACGATTCTGTGTCCCTGAGTAACAATTCTGTGTCTGTCCCTGAGTAACAATTCTGTGTCCCTGAGTAACGTTTCTGTGGCCCTAAGTAACAGTTCTGTGGCCCTCAGTAACAATTCTGTGTCCCTCAGTAACAATTCTGTGTCCCTCAGTAACAATTCTGTGTCCCTAAGTAACAATTCTGTGGCCCTAAGTAACGTTTCTGTGGCCCTAAGTAACGATTCTGTGGCCCTCAGTAACAATTCTGTATCCCTCAGTAACAATTCTGTCTGTCCCTGAGTAACAATTCTGTGTCCCTAAGTAACGTTTCTGTGGCCCTAACTAACGATTCTGTGGCCCTAAGTAACGTTTCTGTGGCCCTAAGTAACGTTTCTGTGGCCCTAAGTAACGATTCTGTGGCCCTAACTGACGTTTCTGTGTCCCTAAGTAACGTTTCTCTGTCCCTAACTCTCTCCCTGAATATAGCCAGGTCTGCCTCTGTTGAATGACTGGAGGCAAATGGAGAATTCTAAAATGACCGCCATTTATAGCTCGACCATTACACTGTGCTGGCTGGCTGGCTGCTGATTGGCTAATGCGATCACATGTCATGAATGAATGCATTATGGGTCAGCGCGCCTTGTCTGCGCGCCTTCCCAGACATCCCCGCTCCGTCGCCGCACATGTCGCCGCCATTTTAGGAAAAATTTCGAAGTCTGCTTATTTTCGGATTCGACGCGAATCGAAATTTTCCTAATATTCGAAACGAATTCCACTTCGCCTACTTCGATTCGCTCATCTCTAGTCATATGCCTTTAAGAGTTTCTATATTTTGTTTCTTCTCCTCCTTTTCCTTTGGTTTAGTTAATGCTGTATAGATATCCCACCCCTTTTCCCAGTAAGGCATTGCAGCAAGCCTCATGGCAATAAGCAGAAACATTATGATCTTTTGACCTATCAAATGTTCATTGTTGTAAGATTCTCTCAGTTTATGGAATAAACTTCACAAGATCTACAAGATGTCTTATCGATTGAGTTACTGACTGTGGCCACTGAAATCCCAATGACACTAATACAGTGATCAGTGCTAATAAAAAGCACTGATACTGTACTAATGATACTGGGCAGGAAGGGGTTAACATCTGGGGTGATCAAAGGTTAACTGGGTGCTGTTTTACATTATGTGCTGTGTGTGTCTTTCTACAGAGACATGCTGCTTTGTTTTTCTCTACTGTGCAGAGAAATACCCAGCAGCATGTTCTTGCTGGCAGGAGAGAGACTTGTACACACAGGTCTCTCTCCTGCCAGTGTTACTCAGCGATTGCCAGGTGCTGACGGGGAATCTCCGGCGGGACCCAGTGATTGACATCTGTAGCCGCCAATGGCAGCGCAGGTAGGTGGCATGCGTGCCTCCTACCCGGAAATGCAAATCACACGTGTGTGTGTGTATGTGTGTGTGTGTGATTTTGTGCAGCCCTGCCGCTCTGTAGCAGTAGTTCTACTATAGGGTGGTGGGGAAGCAGTTAATAAAGTAAATCTGGCATAGCAGAATTTTTTGCTCACATCTATTGAATAATTGAAAAGAACATAATCTCGTTTTACCTAAGTGAAGATTCAGTCTGCAAAGTGACAAATCTCTACATGTTTAATACATCTGCACTTTTAAAATAATACTAATTGTGTGTTGCACATGCAATGCTAGTTAGCATCACAATACACTACAACGCTGTCCATTATTATACACCAGTAAATACTCTTTATTTAGGTATTACAAGCATGTGTTGTACCTGAGGGTAGTTTCTGTACTGGTTTGAAACTTACACAATTTTGTAACACGAAATTGCAAAATAAGTTATTTGGGAACACTCCATTTCTGCATTTGCATTTCTTACCATTGGTGAGTGCTGCCTGCATGGTAGTGACTCGCTGGACTGTTCTGAGCTCTTTGACACTCATGGCCTTCAGCTTGTATAAGAGAAGTGTGAACAGCAAGGTTTCTGAAACTTTCAGCAAGCTTTTGCAAAGTTTTTGGCAAGCTTCCAGCAGCTTTCTTTAAGGCTTTGTTTTTAGGCTTGTGGTTGGGGACAGCAAAAATGCACAGTTGAGCCACATTTTTGCCAACCGCCCCCTTAAGCTACAAAAGATAGAGGACAGGGGTGTTCAAATGCTGAGGTCACAATGCTTTGCTTCACATCCGAGGCAAAGCTCACCCAAACACCAGCCGAACACTACACTGTCTTGAGGGAAGGAGGGTGGGGCAGGTAGGATGAGGCGCAGTATATTCCCCCAGTCATGTGCAGTTTACATGGTTGTGGCACATTTGTCATCAAAAATGGGGTTAAAACAGGCAGTGAGGAGCTTTCATATTGCTTCCTTGCTGCTTGTCAGTAGCCTCTGAAATATCAGTAGAATTGTCTGGTGGTCTCTAGAAAGAGCCACAGGTGTCATGACAACTTCTCAGCCATCCATATCTGTTGCTTTCCAGGTGACAGCTGATAATGAACCAAAGGCCTTTCTGGTAACATCTGAACTGAAGAGAAAGGCTGACTTAAAACACAGTGAGCAGGACTGGTAACCCCTTGCTAACTGGTGAATTGTAAAAAGCCTACTATTTTTGGATCTGTTGAAATGTGGATTATGACAAATTCAAGCGGGAACTATTGTCACAGTTAGGATTATCTTTGCAGTGCAAGCACAATGGGTCAGCAACTAGTCCTTTCATGTCAAAAAATCTCCACAATCACAGATGTTGGACCTCATCCACCTGGCCCAGAAATGGCTGCAACCAGAGTCCTTTTCTGGACCATAGATAGTGGATCAGATAGAGGCCAATGCAATTTCCCCTGTGAATTTCCAGGCCAAAAGGGATGCTGTAGTCTGTGTACATGGTGATACTTGTGAGTATACTATAGCAACTGTGAGGTTTGTAACAGAGAGGGGTATTATGACTCATTTGGTTGGAGTAGTACCTCATTTGCTGCCTGATGCCATTTAAATTGTATGAGAAACACCCTAAGGGACTTATGGACATAGCCAAAGAGACCTGGGAAGAGAATACACTTCACAAAAGTGTAATTGAATATATTTCACAAATACAGGATTGAATTGCAGTGATAATGCCAATTGAAAAAAAGAATTTAGCTTGGGACTAAAGATGAGCGAATTATTCAAAAATTCGATTCGGCTGATTCGCCGAATTTGTGGAATAAATTCGATTCGATGCAAATTTATTCGCTGCGAATTTAACTTATAAAAAGGGTTTCTAGGCTTCAGAGAGCCTTTATATTAGTGCAGAACACTGTACCTTTAATTTAAATGCCCTTGGAGTCTGCTGGGGAAGAGAAATAATACTGTCAGTCAGTATGACATGCAGATGAGTGCCGTCGATCTTAGAATCACCGCACACTTCACTCATTTGGGCAGTCACGGGGCCAAAACCAGAGTGTGGAGCCACAGTGTGGCGGTGGAGGCAGCAGCAATGGGAGGCCATACAGCACCCTATGACAAAATGGAACCCACCAGCAGTGTGAGGAGACCTGAAAGTGGCACATGGCAGAGTGTGGCGATGGAGACAGCAGCAATGGGAGGCCGTACAGGGACCCATGACACACTCTGGACCTGGCAGCAGCATGAGGAGGCGGTACAGGGGCCCATGGCAAGAAGAAGAAGAAGAAGAAGATGAGGATGAGGATGAGGATGAAGAAGAAGACGTAGGATGAGGATGAAGAAGAAGAAGAAGACGAAGAAGAAGTAGGATGAGGATGAAGAAGAAGAAGAAGAAGAAGAAGAAGTAGGATGAGGATGAAGAAGAAGAAGAAGTAGGATGAGGATGAAGAAGAAGAAGAAGAAGTAGGATGAGGATGAAGAAGAAGAAGAAGAAGTAGGATGAGGATGAAGAAGAAGAAGAAGTAGGATGAGGATGAAGAAGAAGAAGAAGAAGTAGGATGAGGATGAAGAAGAAGAAGAAGAAGAAGAAGAAGTAGGATGAGGATGATGATGAAGAAGAAGAAGAAGTAGGATGAGGATGAAGAAGAAGAAGAAGAAGAAGTAGGATGAGGATGAAGAAGAAGAAGAAGACGAAGAAGAAGTAGGATGAGGATGAAGAAGAAGAAGAAGAAGAAGAAATGGATCCATTTATGGAAACAAATAGATACAATGTTTCAACCGCTGTATGGAGTGAATGTCACAGAACTGTCAGAAATAGCCTATTTCTGACATTTCTGTGACA